TGAGAGATTTCTGAAACAAATTAAGATGTACAGCTCTGCTATCACTTCTGACATAAATGAAGACAGAAAAGTAAACAGCAGTGGCGTTTGTAGGGTTACTTTAGTTTGGCTAGCTGATATATAACTGATATATAACAATGAGCTAAGTGATCTCTAGCGACACAGCTATGTAAGCACGATATAAACAGTAAAGGTGGAGGATGAACGCTAACTTCTTTCCACTCGATAAAAATTGCCGTGAGGATTCTCGATGGTTAGAGACAAATGCAGTCGCATGGCAGGATGCTGTAAACGGACCAAACTTAAATCAAGAGAACAACTGAGATAATTCATCCACAATCCAAGGTTAGTCATTAATATACTGCTGCATGGGCTGGGCTGTAGTTGCATTGTAAGGTTTTAAAAATTGAGCTTTAGCGCTAATAAAAACCGAGAGAGTGCGACTCACTGTCGCCCTCGCTGTTTTTAGGGGCTTTTTGAGAATAAATAGAACCAGATACAAAGCATTACAATGTTAAAAACACAAAAGCAGGGTAGTTTGGGCCCGGAAGCAGGATTCATCACATCATCACTTAAAGACCGGATATTTGACAGTTATTGCGTAGATTAATAATTACTTTCTTGAACTGTCTACTACAGGTGTGTGACTGAGCTTCTTGGAGGTGAGACATATGTCTCATGTTCAGGGGTTTATCTGTTTTCTGCCACCTGCATCACACCATGGAGGTCTCCGATGATGACTCAAACTACATGGTGAAATTTAAAACTACCTTCACAACGTGTAGCTACCCTCAACCATCTGTGGCCCAAGATAGGTACTGTGCTTGGCCACACTTTAAGGATTTAAAGTGTCTTGCAAGGAGGAGAGCGAGAAGAGGTTTGGACCAGCCTTGAGGCCGTGCTGCAGGAACAGTGTAAAGATAAAAACCTCAGCACAACCTCAGATGAAAAATTTCCTCTCTTCAGAAAAGAGGGACCACTGAGCAACAGACCAGTTCTTTTTTTCTTTAACCCAGGTAAGACGCTTCTGACATCTGTTGTTCAGGAGCAGCTTGACAAGAGGCATACGACATACAAAGCCCATGTCCAGGATCTGTCTTTGTATGGTGGCTCTTGAGGCACTAACTCTAACTAACTAACACTTTTGAATGGACTTTTTCCTGACAATCCTCTCCAGGCTGTGGTCATCCCTGCTGTTTGTGCACCATTTT